GATAATTAAAAGAACGATAAGAAACAATGAGATGTATAAATTATGTAAAAAAATAAATAAAGAAAATACAAGTGTTGAAGAATAAAAAATGTCAAAAATTATGCAAAGGAAGCCTACTGAAAACGAGTTCGCTGATGAAATATCGCCCATTGCTTGTTTAGGAACTAAAAATATCAATGCACCACATAACAATCGTTTACTTAGAAATAAAAGCATTTCAGCTTTGAGCAGTGGCGATATTGAAGGAAACGTAAAACATACAAACGGAAAGATCAAGAATTTTGTGAATTGAAGCATTAAAAGGTAGAAAATAAGGGGAAAAGATGAAAAATATAAGATGGGAAAAATAAAAAATCAATTCGATTCACTTCATCGAACAGATATAAAAAATAAAAATAAATCTACGAAAAATCGTCTAATTTTCAAAACAAAAAATGCGAATTTAATCGAAAAATATTCATTTTTATAACGAATATCCAATTGTAAAAGCTTACAAGTGGAGATGGATCACTGATGGATCACTGAAACCATCTGGACTTCAGCTTATTCACATCAAGGAAGAGGAAATATCGATGGCCTTCTGTTCGTTAAAGCAAATACCACTCGACAAAGCTGTTCCTGAACATAAAAGGATTTGGAAGTATCGATGGCCTTCTGTTAGTTAAAGCAAATACCACTCGACAAAGCTGTTCCTGAACATAAAAGGATTTGGAAGTATCGATGGCCTTCTGTTAGTTAAAGCAAATACCACTCGACAAAGCTGTTCCTGAACATAAAAGGATTTGGAAGAATTTTTGCTTTGGCTAAGGCTAAAAACACATGGCTTCGATTTTTGTCCATTAACGGAAGCAAAGCCTTCACTAAAAGTGGAAGTATATTCGAGTATAGTTCTTATTTCTTATTTTTTCGTCATTTGAACCAGTCAAACCAAAAATGATGCCATTAGGAAGAGAAGGAAAAAAGTTTATTGAAAAATTGGAATGGCGAAGTAGGAGAATCGAGAACGCTGATGCTCGAACATCCACAGTTCGGCGAGAATTTTAATAGCCTTATTTCCATTCGTTAAAATGAAAAAAATGGGAGCTAATAATTTCCATTTTAACAATTTTGATTTCTTCCTTCCGCAAAAAAAATATTAAAATCGCATTCAACCGTATTTTTTCGGTCACCCAGAAACAAACACAAACTGAATGCAAATGAGATTATAAAAAGAGAACGAAGAAACTTTTCATGAAAAACTTATCGCCGCAAATTGGAAAAAAATTAAAATAAATTTAATAACAGTTTGCAAGAAAATTGTCGGAAATAAATGATTGGCCATTAATTTTGCTTTTTTTGTCGAAGAAACCATTTAAAAAATTTTTTCGTAGGAAATTAAATAAATTATTCTTATTCGACAAGCAACAAATATCTCGAATTATAAAAGGTTTTGGAAAATGCCGTAATTTCATCGATCAGATTCGTATAAGCAAAAACACTGAGTTCATTGAAACATATGTATAACTTGTCTGAATTCATTTAAATGAAAATTTGCGTTGAAAGTATGTGTGTGTTGTTTAAAGTATGCATATATTAAGTATGTTTATTTACACGTTAACAAATCCTCAGCACTAGCTCGCTTTTATTCTCACCAAGGATTTCAACAGCTTAGATCCAATTTATATTTGAACTCATGGTACCACAGTGGTGTTCTATTAGGTTTAAGATTTATAGAATATACGCATAAATCCTTGTATTAATCTTTAAAAACCTTACTTGAATCTTCAAAAATTAAGCAGTAAGTTCTAATAATGAGCTCCTAACTTAATCACATACAAAGATTAAGAAATTTTTCCAATTCATAATAAAAATACTCGGAAATATGGGAGTGAACGAGAATCAATTAAAAGTAAAATCCTGGTGCTGCTAGGAACCCATTGGTAAATTTTGCAATCAAATGGTCAGTCAGTCCTCCAAAAACTCCACCCAAATAGAGTCATCGGTGGATTCAATCAGATTACAAAATGGTCCATGTTACTAAAAGAAGAAAATGAATAATATGAAATTTGCTTAATAAAGATAAAAATAAAAATTGCACTGAATAAAATTTTTTCTTGAAGATTAATACGATATAATAAGTTGCAATTAAATAAAATTATGGAACGAAACAAATTTTTAGCTCAGTTTCATTGCCATGAAATATGGCATAAAATTTTGCAGTCAAGCGCGAAACACAAATATTGCCATCTTCATTGTCATTATTGGACGGACGACAATGATACGTTTACCTATTCCATTTTTATGATTCTGTTATCAGTAAAGATTCGTTTTTCTATTCTGAATAATGCGAATGCAATATACAAATAACAGAAATCAATTTTTTATTTGATATGGCTCAGATCATCGTGTTGGGTGGCTGTTTAAAATTCCAGGATGCAATGGCAATTCAGCAATACTTCGTCAAATTACTCCCTGGCAAATATCTCAAATCGTACCAACATGTCTAACTAGAAATGGTAAGCGCTAGCTATTCCTTAAATTTCATTCCAAGTGGCTCTAGGAACTTGAAAAATGGATTCCAGGAACAACACCAGAAATCTTTATCGAGAAGAGCACAAGAACAGCTGCGCAGAACCCTCAATCTCCCAGGTCTCTGGTAGAGGACGCGAGATTGACGATGATCATTACCACCCATAAGGAATGAGAGAAAAGTTTTTTATTAATCCTATCGCTATCGTTGTTTTTTACGTTTCTTGAAATAATTCAATTTACCAATTTAATTGTTTTTCCTGGATTTGAATGAATTAATTATTTTTCTTCGTTCTTTTTGTTTGCATAAATCCATTATTCGATAACAATCCAGTGAATTTTCTTTTTTTTTTCGTGAAAAACTATTAGTGCAGCAATCCTATATGCCTGCTTACTTACTTACTGAAAGAAGTTTATCAATTTTAGCTAATCAATACTCATGAAAACTTCAGCGAAAGTATAATCGTAATAAAAGTTTATGAAGTTTACTTAGTAAATGGTGAATTTCATCAAATAACAAGAAATAATAAAAATAAAATAATGAATAATAAAAAACAGTGAAAACTAGTTTAAAAAACTTGTTCGCATTGGATAATAATATTGTAAAACTGGCAGAAAATTTTGTGATAAATGCGGTTTTAATCTAAGGGAAAGTACAAAAAGTCTGATATAAAAACTTTTGATACTTTTCTTTTTAGTTGCACTGAATGAATTGTTTAATGGCCGTGCGATGCCGACGACTCACTTCTTGTTTTCCATCGCCATTTGAATCTCCGGCAAAATTTCTCTGCTCAAACTAGGGAGGGGGGGGGGGGGGGGGGGGGGGGGGGGGGGGGGGGGGGGGGAAGGGGGAAAGGGAGTAGGACTTGAAAAAAAATAATCAGAATTCAGAAAAAATTTCATTGACCTAAGCCTTGTACTTTTGAGCTTTTACACTCGAACTACCACCTTTCGAAAAAGATTCATAAAAATAAGTCGCAGAAAAGATGAAAGCATTTACTAAATCGAAGCCAAATTCAGAGGTTAAAAAAAGACTTTTTGATTAAAAAGTTATTCATCTCGTATCTAGTTAATGATTTAAGAGAAGAGAAAAAAGCAATCCTCAAAAAAATATTGCGAACATGCAGAAAGGAAGATCGTTTGGCAAAAATTTTTAAGATGGCTCGAGAAACTAATTCCTATCATTTCACAGCTTATCATCACTTCTATCATACAAAAAATGAACACTTTTGGCGATGGAAACAAATGACGGTGTTAAGATAGCGAAAAATTCTTCTTTTAACACTAACTAGTTTTGAATTGATATAATCCACTGACTGTTAGGATGAATGAGACCTTTTCACCAAAGAATCACGTATGTGTGCGGACACAATCGAAAAAATAGAGCGAAATAAATTTGTCACATGAAAATACATTAAACATTATTTATTGTCCCAGAAATATGGAATTAAAATAAAGTGGAAAAAAATGAAAAAAAATCATTTAAAAATAAATGCAGTTTCAAAAATACCAGCAGCCTCAAGAGGATTTTTCTGAAAATAGGATAGTGGAGAGGAATCTCTCAGATTATAGCGTTGTATAGGCTCGATCCTTGCGCCTAATTATCAAAAGCCAACATCAAGGTAATGGGAACAACCTAACTATCTGTACCAATGTCTTCGACTTTGCCCAAAATTCCCAGTGCTAAATAAACTTCAGAATTCTTATAAGCCAAAAATAATGTCCACATTTTCTTTTTTAAAAGCCTTATAAGTTTATACTTATTATCCACGAAAAAACAGAAATTTTAAATTTTCCTACTAAGAGCGCAAAAAAATCTGATCTTGGCTGTTTTATTCTAATAAATCTGAAAATGGGTTGGGAAGGAAAAAAATCACTGGTTTTGGTAAATTTATTTCATTCATTTAACACATCAAATGCCACTCCTCCATCGACATTTGTAGGTGAAATTTTCTACTTAGTAAAATAATTTAAATGCTTTGACCAATCTTAAAGATTTTCATATTTACTGTAAACTTTAAATGCTTTTTACGATTTACTTCTACGCTCTCAACACATTATTCCCATGAAAGAATAAATGGTTATTCAAATTGAACAATTTTTTTCACGATCGACGATTTTTAAAAAAATTCTCTTTCAATTCAATTCTCCACAAAATTCTTCGCATTTATGTCACATAAATGATTCATAAAAATAATTAAATAATTAATCAATCGGTTAAAAATCTGTATTGAAATCCGTTAAAAAATTGTTCAATTTATAAAATTTATTGTTACTTATTATAAACTCGATTTCATTAATGTTAACTGTACTTTTAATTCCACTTTTTTAATTTTATTCTTTTCTTGATTCTTCTGATAAAGACAAAACTCTACGATTATAAAATATACTTTTTTATTACAAATAAAAAAATTTCACGGCAGAAAAAATAAGTATGCAAAATAGATGAAATTAAAGAGATAGAAAATAATTATAAGATAAAAGATGCATTATTATTTTGCGAATAAATTTTCAATTTGTTTTAAATAATTTGAATTTTCACCATTAATAGGGAAATCTGCAAGTTGCTCAAGAAGTGACGATCTAGCCACATCCAAATACTGTTTAAATTTCTTTTGCTCATCAGAATTAGGCGCAAATGATAATTTAGGACGAGATGCATTAGTTAAATTGATCATTGATAAAAGAATTATAAACTGAGCCATAGAACCATACCTGTAAAAATGAAAAAAACAAAGCATTTAAAATTTAAAAATCAATAAGAGCCGCAAGTCTTAAGTATTATAACATAAATAAAAAGTATGCCTTAAAATTACATAATCGTAAGAATTCATACTAAATTTACATAAATAATTTTTCATTATCGCCGATATCCTTAACAAACCCTTGTGAAGCGATTGCTGTGGAAAGCTCCTTTAGAACAAATCTGAAAATTATAAAGATTACGACAATCCTTAAAAATCCTGGCTTCAATTTAAAAATAGTTGAAATAAATGATTAAAAAAAGTAAATCAAGAAAGTTTTAATAAAAAATTGAAAATAAATATAAATAAAAAATTACAGGCAAAGTGTTGCACTTTTAAGCAATATTTGTTGAACGAATGGTGAAATGAATTCGAAATCATGAGATGTTGGATGGGCTATGAATAACTCCTAAGAATATTCGTAATTTTCGACTTTTATATGCTATTACATTTCATATAAGAATAAAAATACTTCTTGAATCTTCATGAAAGATAAAACGATTTTACTATGATTCAGAAATCCTCACTAAATCTTATATTTTTTACATTTTTATTTCCACTAAGACAGGACAAAACTGAGATAAATAAAGGCAGATATGGCATAAAAAATAACCTGTTTGGCTTTAGCAAATAAATCAGTAACTGCAGATGTGACAAGAATTTTCGAGTATGACTCGATCAAATCACTTGTTAGTTCATTTTGCTTTTTCAAAAGTGAAAGCAAGGAGATAAATGCTGTAGCAAACTCCTGGAAATTCTTAAACCTTTAAGCAGGAAAGTTTAAAAATATTAACGACTCAAAGCCAAATTTAAATTCAATTTATTGATTTAAACTGCAAAAAAATTCTTAGCAAAAATTAATTTTTAATTTCAAAAAACTTAAAAAAATGTCTGAGGAAATTTAGGATGATTCCCAAGTTTTCAAATTAAAATCATAGTCTTTATTTTAGACTCCCAGCCACAAAAAAAGTTACCTTAATATTAATATCATCACGACAAACTACTAGCCATTTAAGACAAGCTAAAATCAGTGATAACAATTCCGCGCGTACCAATTTCTCTTCACTGAATCCAGACTGTAAACGTTTCGATATAAAATATTCAAAAAATATTCGATTATGGACAAAAAAATTTTATAAAAAAACAAAAATTGAAACAGATCACTTCAAATTTTCTCTTTTCCATATAGGATATATATTTTTGAAATTCAAACACAACCAAATAATAACGTAATAAGAATTAAATTATTACTATCATTCATTTATTCAACAAATACTCTTCCATTCAAAAAATGCAGAAATAATTACCATAGATCGAATAAGACTTCCCAATGTTTTTAAAACTGGAACAGCAATATATACAAATGATTTACCATTAATCAGAAAACTTAAGGCCTTGCAAACTGATAAAACAAAACGTTCAGAACAAGAAGTATTTTTGAGATAAGCATTTATCACCTCCAATGATATCTGGAAAACAATTATGCTGCACATATTTCAAAATGGAAAGTGCAGACCGAAGGAAACTTTATTTGAGATTTAATTTAAAGAATTTCTAAATTTATTGGCTGATCGTCCATGTTACCATATATACAGAAACATTTCTGAATATAATATAACTTATTTAATTTAATTTAATTCAATAATGATCAAAAACTGTACTTGAATAAGTTGAAAGAAAAAAGCATTTCGGTCATCATTTATGTGTTCGACGTTTCGCGACAATACTTTCGTAAGCGAAACGAAATCATTAGAAAGTTTTTTCTCATAATCCATTCGCTCGCTCTCGGATTTTGCAATGTTAGCAAGAATTGAAGTAAGTGTATGATACATAGAGAAAATGAATAAAACAATCTCTGGCTTCATGCATCTTGAATTTGTCTCAATCAAGCGTACAATACATGACAGTGACTGAAATTTATGGTTCAAGAAAAAGAAATAAATAGTTGTGCATTATATAATGGAATAAATTAACTAACTGAATTTAAATCAATTCGATTGAAAAAAGGAGATTTGAAAATGCGATGAAAAGTTATTAAAAGTCTTAATCTTTTTCCTCTTCATGAAAAAATAAAACTTACGAGATGAAGCTTCAACAAATATACATCGTAATTCGAAATAAAATTTTGTACTATAACCGGACTTTGAAGCATATGTTTTAAATAAATTAACGCCTAAAATATAAACCATCTGAAAATAATGAACACAATCATGGTAAAAGAATGATTTATTAGACGAAATAATATCATGTACTTACAACAAAATTACATCACTTTTAATTCGGATAATCATTTCTATCCGAAGGTTACAAGTTAAAAGAGCCATTTCATTCGTTTATAGGTATAGATAGAGCTGGATTAAATAAGGAACTTACTCGTTCAATGTTTTCTACTTTTTCACCGACATTCGAAGCTGAGCGCTTACTGGACAAAATTTTTATTTGCTTAAACGCTGAAAATTTATTAAATACAATATACAAAACTGCGAAGTAAAATACTTGTCCAAAAAATTTCATATGAATAGCTTTAAAAAATGTTCAAGGAGGATTTTCATAATTTAGCTCGCATTGATTCTATCGAAAATTTTTATTGGTGAGCCGTTGTTTCAAAAAAGTATTCTCGATTTATTTTATTTGTGATTTATTTTTTAATTTCTACGATTCAGCTAAATTCTCTTAAACTTTTAATCGTTTTTTCAAACAGAAATTAAAATAAATTATTAAAAAAATTAAAATAGCTAAATTATATAAATTATAAAAAATAAATATATTTATCATATACATATATATATATATATGCAATTTTTCAGATGATTGCTGAGGACCAACCAGTAACTATATCACCAAGTCTATGGTCGTCTTGGCATGGCGTTCAAAACCCATGATATTCTCAGTATATACCGCTAATACATACGATAAGTATGCATTCCTGGCATAGTCAAACCTCGAGACTTAATAATATGATCTACTCATGAACCACGATAATTGCTTGAAACCTATCAGTGGAAACCATGTGAAGTGTTAGCTGTAGCATCATGGAATGCTTATGTACATCGCAAACCTAGCGACTATTATCCACGCTCTTTCTAAATATTGTTTAGATATCGCTTATTTCTCGAAGGTCAGTCTTCCCCGCACTTTGAGTCTTATGGAGTTACCAAACCTGGACCTGAACAGAGATACTGGCTGTATTATTGTTTCAAATAACTCGAGGCGAAACGATTGCCATATCTGAATAAACTTCCAAAGCATGAAGGTCAGGAGATCCTGATTATGCTTTGATGAATTACAACAACAGCAGCAAAGTGAGACAGAAAACGCTATTGGAGTGATTAACAATGGAAACAATGGCTCGATTAGACGATAGGAAACTATTCCGTTTTCTTTACAAAGCAATTAGGGGAAAGATAAATGAAAGGTACTGGTGTGCCTGTTAAAGCTATTAAGGATCGGTCCACAAGGTAATTTTTTGAGGACAAAATTAACCAATATGCGCCACCTACTGTTTCACTCGAATTTTTCATAAATAAATTGCATAATTGAATCGCTTGTTTAGCCATATATTTGCAGCAGCAAAATGGAAATGATCTCTGTCATTCAGAAGTTAAAGACCAATAAAACTCCAGGAAATTGTCACCGGATTGAATTCTTCAAATGTAAAGATATTATATCAGTGCACGTCTGCATAGATCTATATATATGGGGAACTGACATCCTTTTGAGATAAGAACTGGTGTCCGTCAAGACTGCATCCTTTCTCCTGTAGTATTCAACTACACGATAGACTGAATAATGGACATTGCTTATCGGCTCACAAGAGGTATACAAATCAATCCAGAGTATAGTGTCACAGATATGCTGATGATTGGGTCCTTTTTTCTGACAGTTATGAGATGCTAAACAATATCGACAACTGCAACAAGAATCGGACTCAGGAACAATGTAAATAAAAAAACAATTTCGTCTTATATATTTAACATGCCAATAAAATACCTACTTTTATCAGTTCATTACCAGACTTTAAATATCTCAGACTCTAATCCCAAATGGCTGAGCAAAATTAAAATTCGGATAATGGCAGCTAGAAATGCTTTCTTCTGGTTAATGGAACCTTTATGGACTCGTCGCAAAATCATTTCTTCTTCTAACAGCTCTCACCATTACTGGTTAGGCTGGCTCCAACGGCTACAATGGTAAGACGCTTCCAAGCGACGCGGTCTGATGACATCGTCGACAGTAATGGAAGCCATTCCTTTTTCCATCGTCTAAGTCCATATATTGCTGGTCCACCTATTCGTTCAAAATCTTTTCTCACCGTATCAGTCCAGGTCTTGATTGGCCCAGCTTGCTTTTGAGGCCAACCGTCACACGGTTTAGCAAATAACGAAATGTGTGTCAACTCCTGCGGTGGACAACGGAGAATGTGCCCTAACCAGCGAAGGCGGCTCTCTGTGATAATATTATTTATGCAAGTGGTATTTGAACGAATGTGGGTGCGATCGTGTGATATCTTATCCGCTCGACGGACCCGTAATATGTACCTTAAATAAGAGTGGTCAAAGGTAGATAACTTCTTAATATCCTCCATTCTCACTGGCCATGTCTCAGAACCATATAGTAAGATCGAATGGATCAAGGCAATATAGATGCGGACTTTTTATGGTGATTTCACGACGATTCCATAAAGGTTTCATCAACCGGAAGAACGCATTTCTAGCTGCCATGATCCGAGTTATAATATCATCTTTTGCCTGGCCATTTGGTGTTAGAGTGGATCCAAGGTATTTAAAATGGTGCATTTCCTCAATCGGAAATGAATTTACAAAAAGAGGCATTTTATCAGCTTCTTGCACACAAGACGAAAACTTTCGTTTTATTTACATTGATCCTGAGTCTGATTCTCGCTCCAGTTTCTGACGTTATTTAGTATTACCTGCATTTCGTTATAACTGTCAGTAAAAAGGACCACATCATCAGCGTATCCAAGACCTGTGATGCTCTGGACTAATTCGGATACCTCTTGAGTGCCGACAAGCAGTGTCCATTATCCAGTCTATCGCATAGTTGAATATTGTAGGGGAAAGAGCACAACCTTGACGGATACCAGTTCTTATTTCGAAGGATTCTGTCAATTCCCCACAGATCTGCGCCGACGTGCGCTCATAAAATACCTTTATGAGTCTAATGATTTTCTCTGGAACACCATCACGTTCCATCAGCCTCCAAAGCGCCGCTCTATCAATTGAATCAAAGGCAACCGCAAAGTCGATGAAACACGTGACAGTGGGTTGCAAATATTTGAAGCGATGTTCCAACAGCCTTCTTAACGTTAATATCTGGTCAACATAACCGCGCCCTGGTCTGAAACCTAGCTTGATTAGGGCGCATCCTGCCCTCCCATACTTCCATAAGTCTGTTGAGTAGCAGGGAAACAAAAATTTTTGCTGAGACGTTTTGCTGAGTAAGCTGATTCCTCGATAATTGTCGCAGTATGTCCTATCACCTTTCTTGAGAATTGGGAGTAGAATTGCTTTGCTCCAATCATCTGGTAATATTTCTTTTTTCCATACTAAGAATACATTTGTTGAAGGTGCGTTATGAAGGATGATGGACAGCATTTGAAAAGCTCAGCCGAACACCATCTTCTCCTAGAGTTTTGTTGGCCTTAAGCTTATGGATAACTGAAATTATTTCTTCTTCTGTTGGAGGCTAGTTTGCAGTTGCAAACGTATGCTTGGGCAAACGTATCAGCTATATCAGGGGCAACAGATGGCGCTTCACGGTTTATTTTGGCCTCAAAGAATTCTTTCCATCTTACGAGGCGATCCTTAATACTTTTATTAGTACGCCATAGCTGTCTCTTACCATTTCACTTATCGTTCCCCGAGTCATAGTTGCCTTATGAAGAAGACAGAATAGTTTCCTATTATCGCCTAATCGAGCCGCCGTCTCCATTCTCGAGGCCATGTCACTGCAATAGGGATTTCTGTTCCACCTTGCTGCTTTCTTTGCAAATCTTCGAAGTACCCGGTAGTCAGGATCACCTGCATTCGTACTTTGGCAGCTTTTTCAGACAATCGGATAGTTGCTTCCGATACCTAACCAGCTCACTTCCTACTAGTATGTCCTAGCGTGGAAGTGGCTGATTTTCAGAGACATTCCTTTAGTTTGGACCAGTATTCATTTGCCGTTCCAGAAAAATCATTGATATTTGTATCCTTGAGATGTGCTTCAATAATTCAGTTTGAAATGCGCTGTCCCCGAATTTTTTAGTTTGAGATAGTTTAAGGATCTTGGGGGATGCTGTTTTCTGCGAGCTGTCAATTTTATGCGGATCTTGGCTCGAACCATAACATGGTCAGATCCATAAAGATTGTCCGTTTCAGCTCCGCGATAGTAATGAGCATCTAGTACGGAACTCTTCCAACGGCGACTGACTAAGATATAATCAATCTGGTTGAAATGTTGGTTTTCCGGGGAATTCCACGTGACTAGATGGTTTCTATGATGCCGGAAGCAAGTATTATTAACAAAAAGTTCAGGCTCTTCGGCATAACGAAAAAGATGTTCCCCATTGGCACACCGGTCTCCGATGCCATATTTATCAATTGTTGAGGTCATCGCAGCTGCATTATGACCTACGCGAACATTCCAGTCTTCCCCGATTATGATCATGTCATATTTCGGTAAACACTTCGTTAGCAGTTGAAGTTCCGCATAGAACTTGTCTTTATCACGATCTGCCGACATCTGCCTGCCGGTCATCTGTCGACAGCGTTGGAGCATAAACACTGACCGAGATATCGCAGAACTTACAAAACAAAACGGGCATAGGCCATACGGTCGTTTACCGGTTTCCACTCAATCAAAGCGGAATGGGCCTTGTCAGACATGACAATCGCTACGCCATTTTGTCCCGAGTTATTCGAAGCACCACAGTGATATAGCCAGTATCTCTGCTCTGAACCAGGATTAATAATTTCTCGAGACCCAAAGTGAGGAAGACGGACCTCTGACAGGCAAACGATATCCACACGATATTTAGACAGGGTGTGGACAGTGATCGCTTAGCTTGCACCATGTTGATACGGCTAATACCTCGCCGCTCGTGCAGAGGGCTATTCCTCTTCTTGATAGATTTCGAGCAATTACCCTTGCTTGAGAGCACATTTTATTTACCATGCTTGGGATCGCTCTAAGTCCGGATTGTAAACTTATCGCATGTACCACCGGGCTCGAAGTATCATGCGCGTCGGGAGACGCGGATGCTGTATCAAATGTATCTGACCCTCTCACCATAGAATCACTTGGGGATAGAGTTACAGGTGGGTCCCCAGCAGCCACTCCGATTTTTGACGTAATAGCAGGTTTACTCCTGCCAAAGACAAAAATTAAAATTTGAAGAAAATAATAAAATGGACAATGAAATTTAAAAAAAAAATCACAAAATAAAATAAATAAATAATAAAATCATCACTATTAAAAGGAAAGGCCATTGAGAGTGTAGGATATTAAGAACCTATCTGTTTTTGACCACTAATGTCTAAGATATATTTTACGGTTCTTCGAGTGGATAAAATCTCATCCCGTGATCGCATCCACCTTTATTCAAATACCATTTGCATTAACAATATCATTACAGAGCGGCGTCTTAGCTGGTTAGAGCAGCACTTCTTCGTTGCCCACCACAGGAGTTGGCACATATTTCGTTGATTGCTAAACCTTATGACGGATGTAATCAAAAGCAAAGTGGTCCAATCAAGGCTTGGACTGTTCAACCAGGAAAGAATGTATAGATGGACGAATATACATTCATATATGAACTTAGACAATGGAAAAAGGAGCTTCTAATACTGTCAGTGATAACGCCGGACTGAATAGCTTACCTCTGAAGCCAGCCGAGCCAGCCTAACCAGTAAAGGTGAGAACTATTAGATTATATTAAGAAAATTACTCCATTAAACATCTAATTATAAATAAAAAAGAAATATTACTGAAATGTCAAATGACATCTATTCTCTATATCATAAATAGAGTATCATAAATCGAATAAATTCATTCAGACTATAAAAACAATTTGTATATCGCTTCAGTTTTAGTGGAACCATTCAAAGGTAAAATTGAAATTATACATCTTAAACTTTAAATTAAAATTAAGAAGGATTAAACAAAATTTGATATAAATTTGAAAACTAATTTGGACCTAATGGCCACAAGTTATTTAAATCCATTCATTGTCAAAACCAATTGAAGAATTCACAACTTTTTTATTCATACCATTAAAATTTTAAAATAAATTACTCTATGATGTGGTTAGTGTGCCACTGGTTTTAAAAAAAAAACTAAAAAATACTGTTAAAATTTATAACTAAGGGCTAAATGGAGTTGTGACAAGAAAGAAATTTTCGTGATATTACATGAAATTTAGCGTTTCCCTGCTTCTTCTGATAAATCTAACTTATACCGTTGTAACCGATCAATAACCGTTCCTCATTATTCTTACAGGATGCAATAAATTCAACTCACGGCAATCTGCCGTACATTGTTTAAAAAAATACATATATATATATATATATCACTACAGGATGGAATAAAATAGAAAGCAGAAATGCTAATTCAAAAGTAGTTTTTTATGAATTTCTTCCTTGAACAATTTTGAACAACTGATCTTATAGCTCCTATTAAAACTAAATCACAAAAAAAAATATAAAAGAAAAACTACTAAAAAACTACTACACATTTTTCGAGGAATTCCAATATTCTGATGAAATCCCAACTAGCTGCAGCTTCTAAATAATGAGATATCATTCGACGATCGGAAACATTTTTGCATAGTAAGTGCTCGGTAACATGATTACTAATAGTGCGTAATTCATTAGTTTCATTCAAAGTACTTCCAAGAGTCATAATTGATTCTGCTATGGAAGAATTCTTAAAATAAACTTCTTTAATTCTAAATATACAGTTAATTCTAAATAGTAAGATTTCTTCCAGACATTTCTTCTACATATGAAATGCAAGTAATTGATTGTTTAAAATCGTTAGAAGGATGCCGTTATAAGTGCCAAATTCCTATTCATTAAAAATATATAAGTATGAAAAATTGATGCATTTTACCTTAAAATGACTGAATAGAAGTCTAAAAAGTTTTGTGAGGACTCGGATTAATACCAATTTTTCATTCTGATAATGAGCATCCTGCAGTGCTTTCCGAAGCGAAGCCCAAGTAACGATTAAACAATCCAGAAGCAAAGTGCAATCTCGCCACCGAGTAGCACCACCGCTTGTATCATCCAGAATATAGAAAATATAGAAATATATTACATAATACTGATAACAAAAACCAAACGAAAATAGTAATAAAGGTGCTCAATAAAAATTAATTGGGATATATTCAATGAAATATGCTTGTTAGCAGAAAAAAAGAAGAAAAATTGAAAGTTATTTTGAAGATTTCATGTCCAAAAAAATCAAAATGAGAGTAAAAAATTACCGTCTTTAGGATCAATTACAAGTGTGAAATTTGTGGATAACGATATATTTGAAATAATCGAATCGTTCTCTTCAGTCATTTCCACTGACAATCGAAAAGATTTATAAATTACGATAGACAACCCTTTGAGAAGATCAACTGAAAATTAAAGAAATTCTCCAGGAAATAAATTTGACAAAATTTTTGTAATATTTTGAACGAAATTTTTGGAATTTTCGATCATCGCAAACTCATCATCATAAAAAAAATTTAAGCTTGATTACTGCTCCATGCAGAATGAATTATTCCCATGCAATGAAAATTTGTTAGTAATGGAAAATATTGGTTGACCAAAGCTTATGTCGAGATCAATTTAACTCAAAATACCTGCTTGCTCAATAGTGATTAATTTTTTATTTATAATATAATGATGAAATGCAATCGTAGCTAAGCGGTTTTTTCCACCCATAATGACCAAACGCCGAATAACTTCATCAGAATTCAAATTAACTCGCATAAATGATTGCAATAAAAGAAGAGAAATCTAAATCAGATTGATGCTACTTTATAATTTCAATTCATTATTTGCAATTCATTATATCTAAAATAAATTTTAGAAAAATTTTTTTTGATTATACAGATTTTGATCATTTGAAATATATCTCTAAAAAAATAAAAAGAAACAAAGAAACACAGAAGCACAGACTTGCTCAGCGACAGATTCCGATTCTTCCAATTCTAAACATGTTAACACGTCATCAATATCCACGACATCCCACACCTAAATAATTTAATTAAATTTAAAAAAGTTTCTTGATCATAATCTAATTAAATTTAGAAAATTTATCTTGATTATAAAATTAAATAAATAGTAAATTTCTTGATCAAAAATCAGAACATATAGATGGATTAACTTTATACTAATTTCCATTAAAATATCCTAAAATTAATGCCTATTAAAATTCATATTTTTCTTTAAAACACGGAAAATAATTTTAAAAAAATTGAAATAAATTAGATTTGCCACTGAGAAATCATAAAAAAAACATCACCTTGATGAAACGATGCCTTTTTAAAGCATTTAACAATTTAAAAGCCTGTAATCTGACTTTATCATTGTCATCGTTGATTCCTTTTTTTTTCATAAGACATTTTAATGCCACTTCTGTAGCATTTATAGCATTCGAACATGATAAAAGATAATGCATTCCCTCATAAACTGCCAAACGGACATCAATAACTTGATCACTAGATAAAGAATCGACAATCTGAATCAAATTAATAATTACATTACCTCAAAATCATTACCTCAAAATTGATTACATATTCATTTCACAACATTAAAAGAATATGTAAAAAATGGACAACTATATTATAAAATAATAAAGTAATATGAAGAGTAAAATACCGTGGCTAGAGATTGTTTGATAAAGTCAGTAGGAAAAGTGTTCCAGTAGGTACTCAATATAAATAAAAAGCGTTTTACTGACTGAGCTCGAATAGATGAACTTTCATCATGAAGAAGGCTAAGAAGTATTTTTTGCTGATTAATCATGATTTCATTATTCTCCTAAATGAGAATATAACAGGTAATAAGGAACATAAAGGCAAAGAAAGCTTTAACTACCGCTCCAAATGTTTTTTGACAAGCATTAATATATGACAAATTTTTACAAGAATAAATTTAAAAATTTAAAAAATTCAAAATTCGAATTTGATTTCCAAAAAATCGTCCTAAATCCTAAATCTTCCTTTAAACGATAATTTTCTGAAAATCTCCCAAATTTAATTCGTTTAATCGTTCCTGATGCGAACAAAATAAAAATAATTTTAAAAAATCGTACAAAATCGTCTTCATGAAGAATAGGATAAAACGGAAGAAATAAACAGCACGCATTATATCGAATAATTTGATTCACCGCCTAAAAGAATGTGGTATATCTTTTAAAGTTATTTAATATAAATACAGATATTTTTAAAATTATTTATATCTATTATTTATATCTATATGTTTACATTAATACATATCTATATGAAATATGATATGAACATTATTACATAAATAAGAAATATATAACAACTCTATGTAATGACCCTAATTTTCTTGAAAAGAATAGCAAACTTTTAAATTACGCCACAAATTTGGTTGAAATATTCGATAAATCAAAGAACCAATCTGCTTGTTAATATGCTTATTAAAGGTTAAAATCGCCTGAAATTAACAGAAGTTTAAATTAATAGAAATTTGCAACCACGCCTTTTTCAGTTTGATAATGTTAAACAGAACAAAAAAATTACAGCAAGAAATTTTTTGGAAATTGAAATATCGCTTCTTATAGCATAAAAGACGACATCCATAAGTAGATCCTCTTCAATACTTTTTCTAAATTCATCATTCCCATCATCCTTAGCAGCATTTTTCCACGCTATAAAAAATACTTCGCCATATCCAGAACAGTGAATCCTACAATATAATAATAGTTTTCTTTAATTCAGTACAATTTGACAATAAAACTATAAAACTTACAAAGAAGTAGATGGTAAAGCAATTGATTTTTTTGCTATTTGCCAGAACTCTTTGACACCAATTTTTTTAATAAAACATGCAACAAGCTTCTGACCCTAAAATAATTATAGATTTTCAGTATATTCTAAAAATTTTATGTGCCAAAAAATCTGATTAGACGAAATGAAAATATTCTTAGTAGATAAAAAAATTAAGGGCGTGAAGTTCTACTATGATAGCAATATTTTAAAACCAATGATAAAGGTAAAGATAAAGGTAAAGGTATTATTCAAATCAAATTATATTTTTGCCGATAAATAATTTGTAAATTTAATTTAATTTGTAAACTAAAAGAAATTTAAAACATTATATAAATTCAAAATCCAAAGAAATCCAGAAACTGTCGCTTACTTCTAAAAAGGACATTAACTGAGGCGAATATACGATCCTTCTTAAATCATTTACAGAGCACTGTTTAATGAGTTCGACTCGATCCGAATAAAGTTTTTTAATTAGTACTTTCTAAAATCTAATTAAGATTAATTTAACACCATGAATATTAACACCATATGAGTTACTGGATTCTTCAGCACTGAAGGAATATAAGATTTTACAGATATGTCGCCGAGCGATAAAAACAAAAGGTACTGTAAAGTTGAAAATCGAGGATTCGAGCTAACGGTTAATTTATTAACCGTTATTAACCATTATTAACAATTATTCTTAAGGACTAATGGAGAATCAATTAATGAAGACGATATTGACAAGGCATGATCTCAAAGAAATGTGCTTATTCCGAATCAGCTAAAGGATTCACATAATAATATGGTGGCACAAAAAAATAAAAGAAGCTGAACAAAAACCACTGGAAAAAGGAGAATAGCGAACAAGAATTTTTAACGAAAAAAAAGACCAACTAGACCAACTAGATTGGAAGATGGGGCCGATCTCAAAAGTTTTTGCGATCGCCTTTTGGCAAAAGCATTTGCGTCTAAAAAAAAATCAAGTTATTAGGACAAGAGTTCCGAAAATCTATGAAATTTCAGTATAACCATACTTTTTACTGATGCTTGAATTTTAAAGCTCTTGAAAAATCAATTTTCTTTTAATTTAAACGACAGCAACGTGAAATGAAATGAATGTTCCAGAAATTGCAAGCTAACAATTGAATTTTTAAATATCAAATATATACTACTCAAATATATAATAAATTACCTCAAAATAAAAAGAAAACTAATGCTTACAAAGTTAGTCCAATTAGTTCCACAATTATCCTCACTGTGAAGTCTCCAGTTAATTAAATTTGAAAAAAGCCAGTAAAGTAATACAAATTAAGTGTAATCGAGGTATGGCCTCTACAATATCAAAACCGTACTTTTACGAGTAAATGTTAAAAGAAACGAGAGAAAACAAAAATTCACTTGGCCTTTTCCCGGTACAATCGCTTTTTTAAGTAATTCTGCATAGTTACTCAATTCATATTCAACATTTGAAATATTTAAGTTCATTTCCGATATTTTCTCTTTTTTTTTCATATTTCTTCACAAAAAATTCTGAAATTCCAAATAGCATAAACCAGTTGATTAAATAAAGGAAAAACATTGAAAATAAAGCTGAAAATGGAAGAATACTATAAAAAAAAAGCATCGAAAAAATGCCGAAAGCGAAGGTGTTGCAAAAAGAGAATTTCTTATATTGCTAATTATCAATTATATTGTCACTATAGTTGATTCTAAAACTTTCAATCAAAAAAAAAGTAAGAAATAACAGAAAAATGTGCAAGAATTAAAGAATTTATCAATTTATCCTATATTGCATACTGAAATTTTTATTATGAGCTATTTCAAATCTTCGTCATTCCACAATTATAGGAATGAGCGATCACTGTCCACACTTTCTCTAAATACCGCGTGGATTTTGCTTGTTTATCGGAGGTCCGTTTTCCTCATGTTGGCTTCTGAGTAATTGATTAAATCCGGTTCCGAGCAAAGATATTGGCTATATCACTGTGGTGTCTCAGATAATTCGGGGTAAAATGGTGTAGCGATTGTCATGTCTGAAAAGGCTCGATCCACTCAGATTGAATGGAAACCAGTAAATGACCGTATGGCCTAAGTGCTTTTCAAGGGGAAGTTCTGCAATATTTCGGTCATCAATATATATGCTCCAACTTTATCCGCAGATGACCGGAATAAAAATAAGATCTATGCGGAACTTCAATGTTAACAACATCCTTACAGAGAGGTAACATAGTCATAATCGGGGGAGACTGGAATGCGCGCTAGGTCATGGTGCCGTTACAATGAACTCGGTAATTGGCAAATATGATCCAGTGCGCCAATGGAGAACGACCTCTTCGTTTTCGAAGAGCATGAACTTTTTGTTAATAATACATGCTTTCAGCATCAGAGGAAACATCTAGACATGTGGAATTCTCCGGACAATATTCCAATCAGATTGATTATACATTGGTCAGTCACCGCTGGAAGAGCACTTGATAGTCGTTCTTATCGAGGCGCTGAAACTGGTAACCATCATGAATCAGATCATGATACGGTTCAAGATTCGTATTTGACAAAATTGACAAAGTCGTAAGAAATAATGTATCCCAAGATCTTTCAAATGAAAAGACCAAGGCCAGGGAGCAATAAACGCATTTCAAACCATATTATTGGAACACATTAGTGAAATGAACGTTAATGAGATCTCTGGAAAAGCGAATGAATACTGGTCCCAACTAAAGACATGCCTACAAAAGTCAGCCACTTCCACACTAGTATATATTAGTTGGGTGTCGGAAGCAATTATCCAACTGTCTGAGAAAGCTAACGTCCGCTAACGCCCAAATGTCCATAGGAGATCCTAACTATCGGGTGCTTCGAAGGATTACAACAACAGCAGCACGGTGGGTCAGAAATCGCTATTGGAGAGATATGGCCTTGATAATGGAGAAGGCGGTTTGGACAGGTAATAATAGGAAACTGTTTCGCCTTTTTCACAAAGCAACTATAATTCGAGAAATGGTCAGTGAAATGATACGGGATATTATGGGATATTAATGGGATGCCTATTAAAGCTGTTAAAGATCGTCTCAGAAGATGAAAAGAATTTTTGATGCCAAACCTAATGAACTTTGCGCCATTTGTTGTCCCGAATATAACTAATTTGCACGCCGAGCCTTACGTTTGTAACTGTGAACCGCCAATAGAGGAGGAAATAATCTCTATAATTCATAAGTTTAAGGCCAATAAAACTCCCGGAGATGGTTTTTGGGCCGAATTTTTCAAATGTATTCTCTGGTATGGCTAAAGGAAATAATACTAGAAGACTGGAGAAAAGCAATTCCGCTTCCAATTCCTAAGAAAGGTGACAGGACGTACTGAGACAATTACAGACGAAAGAGGCTACTGGACATCTCCGAAAAAATTTTCGCTTCCCTTCTGCTAAATATAAACGAGATACTCTTAGCAATGCGAGTAGAATACGTCCTAACCAAGGTGGATTCAGACCGGGACGCGGTTGTGCTGACCAGATATTTACGGTAAGAAAGATGGAAAATCGCTTCAAATACCAGCAACCCACCGTCACTCCATCGATTTTGCAGATGCTTTCGATTCGCTTAATAGAGCAGCACTCTGGAAAGTGATGGAATGTGACGGTGTCTCAGAAAAAATCATTCGACTCATAAAGACACTTTATCAACATATTGGTACAAGTCTGTGTATATGTGGAATTGACAGACTCCTTCGAAATAAGAACTATTGTGTTAAGGCTGCGTCTTTTCCCCTACAATATTCAACTATGCGATAGACTGGATAATGGACACTGCTTGTAGGCATTTAAGAGGTGTGCAAATCAGCCTAGAGCGTAGTACCACCGACCTCGAATACGCTAATAATGCAGTCCTTTTTGCTGACAGCTATAATTAAATGCAAATAATGTTAAGCAATATATCAACAACTGCAGCGAAAATTGGACTCAAAATCAATGTAAAAAAAATGTTTTCGTCTTATATACAAGATGCTGGTAAAATATTTATTTTTATCAATTCATTGCCGGTTCAGGAAGCGCCCAAAATATCTTAGATCTATTCTTATCCCAAATAGATAGGCAAAAGATAAAAATTATAACTAGAACAAGGATAGCTAGAAATATGTTTTCATGTTGATGAAACCTTCATGGAACCGTCACGAAATCACCATAAAGACGAAAATCCGCGTCCATATCTTTCGATCTTGTTATATGGCTGCGAGACTTGGCCATTGAGAGTGTAGGATATTAAGAAGCTATCAGCCTTTGACCACTCGTGTCTAAGATATATTTTACGAATCCGTCGAGCGTATAAAATCGTACATGATTGTATTATCCATCTTCGCTCAACTACCATCTGTATTAATAATGTTATCTCAGAGCTTCGTCTTCGCTGGTTAAGGCCGTCGTCCACCACAGGAGTTGAGAGAAGCATATTTCGTTACTTACTAAACCATGAGATAGTTGGCGCCAAAAGCGATGAAGGCCAGTCAAGACCTGGACTGATACAATCAGGAAAGATTTTGAACGTATAGGAGGACCAGGGATATATGGACCTAGACGATAGAAAAAGGAATGGCTTCTATTACTATTAGCAATGGCGTCGGACCGAGCAGCTTGCAGACGTCTTACCCTTGTAGCCAGCGGAGCCAGTCTAACCAGTAATATGAGTTAGAAGAAGAATTATTTAAAATTAAAATTACTGTATATCTCTTTGGCCAAATTTTGAAGGATATTAAAAACAATGATGAAAATTTATGCTTTAAAACAACGAAAAATGTGGCAACGATATGGCATATTACTGATTCAATCTATATTTAAAGGATGGCAAAAACCTTAGAAAACTTCATCATGAATGAGCAATATTTGTAAAATCCAATTTTTAAACGATAGTATAACCCATTAGTTGGTAGAACACAGCTCAGGTTTAATTTAAAAGTATATGTAAAAAAAGTATATCATAACTGTATTACAAAAAGGACTACATCATCAGCATATTCAAGGCAAGTGGTACGATACTTTGGACTGATTTATACGCCTCTTTAGTAAGACAAGCGGTGTCCATTATTCATCGAATGGTTCAATATTGTAGAAACAAAAACGGAAAGGACTTAGTTCTGAATCCAGTTTGAATGGGACGCATCTTGTTGCCTCGTACTTTCATAAGTCTATTTAGCAAAAAGGAAGCAAAAATTTTCGCTGAGACGTCTAGTAGGCTGATTCTTCGATAATTGTCGCACTATGTCCTATCATCTTTCTTGAGAATTGAGAACAGAACTGCTTTGCTCCAACCATCTGGTATATCTCTTTTTTCCATACCAGAGAGTACATTTGTTCAAGATGCATTATAAAGGATGATGGACGATATTTAAAGAATTAAGCTCGAAGACCATCTTCTCCCGTAGTCTTATTGACCTTAAGCTTATGAATTACATGAAGAGATTATTTCCCCCCCTGTTGGCGGTTGCAAACGTATGGTTCGACGAACTTATCAGCTATATTTAGGACAAAAGATGACGCATTGTGGTTAAATTTGGCCTCAAAGAATTCCTTCTATTTTATGAGGCGATACTCTTAACAGGCACAACGTTGCTATCCGTTAACATTTCATTGATCGTTCGGATCATAGTTGTTTTATGAAGAACCTTATTTTCTATAATCTTAGATACTTTTCCTAGGTTTCTGCTGGGAATTAAAAATTGCTCATCGGTACCTAAAAATAACCGATAAGCAAAGTACACAGTTACAAAGTACAAGAATTCTACAACGCCCTACCATAAATATGAAATAGCGCAGATAGATAGAAGCTTGTGCCTTTGAACTAAGCTCATTTTGAGCATCCACTAATTCAAGCTCATTCCATCGTTGAACAGCAAAACTGCAAGGTTAATACAGAGCTTAGCCCAGCATAAAAATATCCATACTTTGGTACGAAAGGCGTCTCCAAACGAGAAAAAAACGTTTGACTATGAGTGTAAGATGGTCGAATGAATATTGCTTCAGCTCAAAGTAGCATGAGTTCCACTACTTTCTTCGCCATCAAAATCGAAGCCGTATCTCAACTTATGAAAAAACCTCTCTATTACGGCCATTGGAACTAGCTAAGCCAGGCACTCAACTGGCTGGAAAGTTCCGCCGCAGCCAAGGAAGTTTAAGAAGGACGGCAGTGAAGGAAACAATTTGGCCAAAGTTCCACCAAACATGAACCATTTTAAAATTTAAAATCAAAATATGAACAAATGCGATAAAATAAATTTTTTAATTGATTATTTCGAAAATATTAAATTATGAAAGGTTGAAAAAATCATTTGTATGCAAATAAATGCAAAATATATTTTAATGAATTTATTTCATATTTTAGAAATATTTTAAAAAATTTTTCAACATATCTAAATGAATCGTAAAATTAAACCGCAAAACGAAAAACCAAGCCAACAATTTTAAGCAAAAAATTAATTACTTACAACTTACAATAACTTACAACTTTCGAAAAATATTCGAAATACCGCGATTTTCGAATTTGCAGATATTCGTCTTAAGAAACGAAATTCTTCAAAACTCGAATATCCTCGAAAGATTTGCAAAATTGGGCAGAGAGGCCGAATTTCATATGAATAAAGGTCTTCATAGGGGTTGTAATTCGAGGTGTTAAGAATGACGTCGGCGCGCAAATTTCACTTCAGAATTCCAATCTAAAATTCGAGTGCATTTTGCTGATCGGTAAGTAAAAATTATTTTAAAATTCATACAGAAATAGGAGAAAAGGGCGCTTTTTAAGCTAAATTTAAACAATATTAATTTTTGCGCGATGATCGCTCACATGTTTGTAAAAAATTCTTGGGGATTTTTTAAGTGCATGGCAATCACGTGAATAACTATGTTACGTGAATGTTCACGTAAAAGACCATTTAGAAATCAGGTCTATGCAATATGCTGATCACTATTTTGGAAAAAATCAATAAAGTCGAAAGTCAGTGGCGTCATCTTCATGGATTATTGATTTTTTGTTCGTAATGAAGAGAGATGGAAAATTAGACGGAAAAGTTGAACAAGAGAATGAAAAACATCATTAAATATTAAGAGGTTAATAATTTATACATTCATCTGATAGATAGCGGATGTTTGAGAGAATTATACGAAAGAGTTCTTTAACAGGGTGCGGTTTTGATGAGGGTGAAAAGAAAATAGAAGAGTCGTGCTAAGTCGTCACGTTAAAATATTTCGTTGCACCGCGTCTCTTCGATCACAAATTTCTGCTTCTCTGTTTCTCTCAGTTTCGCTTGATATTTCTATGACTTTTTGACCTTTTTAGACTTATTTGAGTACCATAGGAAATTTGTGTTTTTTATTTTTGCTTGAAATTAGCGCAATTATGCAATCAATATTGTATTTTACTTCAACAGAAGCAAAAAAATGAAACAAAAAAAGGATTTTTTTGTCCTTATCGTTTTTTGCTTTTTCGTGGGTGCTGCTGCGGCTCTTTTTTACAGAATTCGCTTTTTCGCTAGTAGCAATCGCATATTTTTTTGAGGACAGGGGGTTTATCGGTATGCACCCTTCCCATTGGTACCGGTCATTTCTAGGACTTTTAAGAGATTCGCCCACTTTGCTAATGGTTCATTTTGCTGGTTTTGAAGTTATATCAGCTGTTAATGAAGTTTTTTAGTGGTATCACGGGCCTATTTCATTTTCGATCCAGTAGTATCATTCATTTTTAGTACTTCAAGGCTTTGCTGATTTTCCAAGGTATATACATTTTTCGTTTATAGCAGTCGTTTTGCGAATCCTTTATCTATCAGCTTTCTCTATTTCTCTTTTTTTCAGTGTTGGTGATTTTCTTTCAACAGTTCTCCTGCCTTTTATTTTTTTCAAAAATTTTCAATATTTTTGCCACTTGTTTCAATTTCAAATGTTTCACGTTTTAAAATTTTTTATCGAAGATGGAACAACAAAATCCACCATCATCTACAATTTTGCCAAATGCATTCACAAATTCAACTTTTGGATCGACTTTTCCAGGTTTCTTTTTATTTTGGCTTTTCGATATTTTCTGTTTTTTTCATCTTTCCAGCCTTTTTTATTGCATTTCATTGAAAATTTTTTTAAAAATAAAAGCTTTAGAAATTTTATTAGTTCGGAGAATTATTTTCTTCAAAATTTTCTTGAAAAAAGAATAACATAAAATAAATAGAGAAAAAGTATTTTTAAAGTATATATATAGTATATATATAGTATATATAAGTATATATAGTATATATAATATATATAGTATATATACTATATATAAGTATATATAGTATATATAAGTATATAAGTAAGAAGTATTTTTTTTTCATATTCATTTATTTCTTTCGAAATTGATTTGTTTCCGACAACACGAATTTTTTTGATTTTTTGTTTTTTCTCGAAAATTCTTGCGCAACATTTTTTATTTAAATGCTTTACCTGCTGAGAGATTCTTTCCAGGCAACAGTTCATATTTGTATAATATCGCTTAATATTTCTTATTTCAGGAATAAGTTCAGCAGCAGGAAATGTATCGAATCCGCTTCTCATGTCAACATTACAACATTTACAAGGTTTATCCAATAGTGGGAATACAACTCTTCTTCCAGGAACATCACAATTAAAACTAGGAACTCAATTTGCATCTGAATTCAATAATATTGCTGCTATGGGTTGGCCCGCTCAAAATACAAACACTAGTTGGTTCGAACAGGTTTTTTTTGAAATTTTTATTGTAGTTTTTAATCGCCAGTAATTTTAATTTTTTTTCAATGGTTTACTACAAATTCTGTATTTCAGGCAAAAGCGGCAATGCTTCCAATGTATAGTGTCCTACCTGCCAGTGGAGTTAAGTCTAAGTTGGTTTTTTTTTTCTTATGTTTTTACTTTATTTTTATTTAGTTATCTTTTATGAATTTTTTTAGAATATTTTAGATTATTCCAAATCCAAATTTTATGTGCTTTTTAAAGCGCTGTTCCTTGTTTTCTTGATTCTCTTGTACTGAAAATTTGTAGTGATATATCTCCGATGAGTATGAATTCACCTGCATTTTCAATGCATCCGAAATTAAAACAGAATAGTGGAGTTGCTATACCTTCAACTGTTGCATCAGCTACAGTTTTTGCTGCAGGTTCTTTTTGTATTCTCTTTTTGGATGAATAAATATTTTATAATATTTTATCTTTTGTGTAATCGAATCATTTTGGCAAACATTTTTTCCAGGCATTTTCCCATTAGATCCATGCGGTTTTTTACAATCTGCACAAAACTGTCATTCACAACCAGCTACACCAAAGCAAGCACAACATCAGCGAACTCATTCTTTGCATTCTTCGCCTGCCAATGCATTTTTAAATTCTGATACGCAACAGAATTCGATATCTAGCCATTGTCCAGTAGAAATAAGGCCAGATTCAAATTCAGCTGTTTCATCGCATGGGTCAAATTCAGTTCATTCGGTACATATGCATTCTATAGGCTCAGTGGAAGGTGTTGAACCTTGTTCATCGACAGATCTGAATTCTGGATTAGCATCTTTAGGTAACGTTAATATTGGAACATGTTCGGAGCGTGTAAATCAGGCTTTCATACATAATTTGCATGTTACATCAGGCAATTCTTCTGAGGTTGGCATTTGTTCAAGTTTTTTAAAATTTCATTATGTACGATTTTCTTTTCCGCCGAATTTATTACCATCAAATATTATAGGAAATTTCATTATTTTCATCATATTCATTATTCATCGCAGTTTTGATTGGTAAAGTGAATTGGTTAAATTTTAATTATTTTAATCATTATATATTAAAAATAGATGTTATAAAATTTTTCTTGTTTTTTATTAAAAATTGGAAATATGCTGTTGATATAGGTTACAATTGTACCAGCATCATCCGATATACATTCGACGAATAATGCACAACAAATCGCTTACGATCTCACAATGGCTAATCCGCAAACTGTCGCTTGTTCATTTTCTGATAGTAGTATGGATGCTGCGACGACAACTACTAATGACCAGCTTATAAACGATTTTTCTATCGTTTCAGACAGACAGTCACCGGTATTTTTTAATATTATGATCTTAAATTGAAATGATTTTTTAAATTATTTTCATTTTTTTGCACGTTTTTTTAGTCACTGGTAATTACATGAATTTTATTCGCATAGAATATTATATAACATTATGCATTCTAAATTATATCTGGAATTTACGAATTTTGCATTGGGGTGTTAGGGTGAGTAATAATTGAACACCTATAAATTTTCGTTGAATATTTCATCTCATCACCCGGGCACCTCGTTTAAATTAACGATATTCTTCAGCGATGTGAAAAAAGATTTGAACTTCATTAGCCTTTGCCTAAATTTTAAAGCCAGTGCTCCCCTTCATTCTTTGATTTTATTCTTATTTTCCATACTAATATCGTAATAAATACGAGAAGTAAATCATATTTTTTTTTCTAATATTCTTTTGTTTTATCCATCGGATAATAACATTATATCTCTATTTTATTTTACTTCAGGGCTCACCGCATGATAATGCTCTCGATAGCAGTAATTTAGAGGATCTACCATGGTCAGGCATTGATTTCACTGATATTGATCTATTTGGAGGAGCGTCTGGTGTTGATAAAGATGTAATGCATTCTATGCTTGCTATGGATCCCTCCGCTATGCAACGAATGTTCCCTAATGACCCATCGTCGTCAGTGAATTCCGATTCAGATGGAAATCGTTGCCAGCGTTCACCATTGTCAAGGCAAAGTTTTTCGCCTGTTGTAGTTTGTTATTTCAAAATATATGTAATATGTAAATAGAAGTAAATGTAGAAAGGTGTAGCAAAATAGTGCATTTGATTTATTGCAGTGTCAAAATGTCACAAGCAGTGACACCTAAAATTCGTGAAAAAATCAAGAATCGTCGTGAAAAGGAGTTGGCTGATGCTGATAAAGAGCTCGATCGTTTGTTATGTTTGGTGGCAAAAAATGATTCAAAGCCGGTAGTTGAAGTAAAAACTCAACCAACATTCCCTGCATTTAATCCCTTGCTACTTCTTAAACCGGAACCATCGGATGATAGGAAAATTAGTCTTAGTCCTGTTCAGGTTAAATTTTAAATTTTAGAAGGTTCAACAGTCATTTTTTCAATTCATCATTAAAGAAGATTAAATTTTTCATTTTTTTAGTTTACGCCACCTGATTCTCCCACGCCATCAACATCTGAGGCAGGCTCCAAAAACTCATTTTTCTTTCCTTCTTTACCAGGACCCTCAACGTCATCTGCAACAAATTCAATGTTGTCTAGGCCAGCGCCTTCAGTTTCCGTTTCTCCCTTTGTCTTCATGTCAGCGGTTGAGAAAAAATCTAAACCATCCAAAGTTCCTGTCTATAAACAAAAGGCTAAATCATTTTTGACTTCCGAAATAAAAAAAGAAGAGGAAAATGCAGGTTATTATTTTCTACTTTTGTTTTCAAATAGTTAATGTTTAGTAATATAACATTAATGATTATAAATCTTTTCCAGCTACTTATGCTTTAAAAAATTTAGGTAGGGATGATGCGTATAGTTTCAATGATGAAGAGGAAGAAGATAAACCATTGCCAACTGAAGCCAGCCTATCAAAAGTGCAACTTAAGGAGAAAAGGTTGGACGCTGAAGTTGCACAAAAAATCGCAAAAATAAATAGTGCACATTGTGAAACAAAAGGGAAGGGGAGCGCATATGAATCGCAAAACCAGCAGGTAATTCGATTTCAGCATTTTTTTTCTCATTATATGGCAAATAAAAATATGATTTGATATTTGGTACACATGAATTATTTTTAAGGATTTATGGAGGCATGTAGTGCCAAAGAAAAGGCATACTTCCGTCGCAGAACGACCCTCCGTGCCATCTACACCGTTATTGCCACCTGCCTCATCTTTTGAGCGTGTTGATGTTGGACTTGCAGGTTTTTTTCTCACTCTGCTATTTCTCATGCCGAAATTGTATTTTTTCTGAAAAGATTATTCCAATCTTTTTCTAGCTCAAAAATCGCCGGAATTGTTGACATTGGCTGAAACATTACAAAGGCGTAAGCAATATAGATCTTCATATGGGTTCTTACGAACCAAATGTCTTGACGATATTGAAACTGCTGTAGACGAGGATCAAAGTGAAATAGCTCCAGTAAATGCCAAAACTGTGCCAATAAATGATCGTAAAACAGAAAATGGGTGATTTTTAAATCAGTTTTTTGTAATTTAAAGAAAATATTTGTTTTAATCAATATTAATCGTTCTTAAGGTACAATAGTTTTATCAAAAATTTTAGATTACATCGTCCGCTGCCAAAATTATTGATTCGCATCCCTCGAAAATCGGTAGAATTATTAGAAAAAGAGAAGGTGAAAGTGAAAAAGAAAAAGAAAAAAAGAGATCGGGATTATGACTGGGAAGGGTCACAAAAAACCAAGAAAAAAAGGAAACATAAACATAAACATCGAAAAAGAGAAAGTTCTGAGATTCAGTTAGTTTTTTAGTTTTTACTTAGTTTCGTTATAAAATATAGATTTGATAAAGATGTTTATTTAATGTTTATTTATGTTTCTTCATAAATTTTGTATGTAATCTCATAATTTTTTTCTTTTTATATTAAAAATTATTTAATATTTTTATTTATTTTTTACAGATATGAATCACATTTAATCGGTGTCGATGGTGAACAGTGGAGAGAAAACCAAAATATGACACGCATGAGAGATTTTTCAATGTTTAGTAGGAAGCACCGTTTAATGATGCAATGGAATGAAACAGAAGAAACTGGAGTTAACAGTAAACAATATTTTTTTCAAAGATTTTTCGGCATTTCCACTTTATTAATCACTTGTTAATCACTTGTGCCTAATTTTTTTTTCATTCATTTAAGATGAAATGATATATTGTTTATTTTACTTAATTTATCTTTAAATTTCTCTTAATTTAAATGTTCTCTTAAAATTCTTGTATTAAAGACCATGGTGAAGAAAATGGTCAGGGATGTGCTGCGAGTTGTGAACGATCTCAGCATAATTTGTATGAAGATGAAAAAAATGATTGGAAAATGTTAACTAGATTCAGTAAAGCTAATGGTCAGGTTGCGGTGAGTTTTTTTTCGCATCTTTATTTTTTAACTTCCTTTTCCTTTTGATTTCAAATGCATGCTGTTTGAATTATTTATTTTTTTAGAAGGGAACTTTCGTTGTATGCAAGATGGATATATTTAAGGATGACTGCCCATTATGGAGGGTTGATAATCAAAATCTTCTGCAGAAATATCCAAAGATTCAAATGGACGGAAAAATTGTATACAGGAATAGTTCAACTGTTAGCAATATTTTTTTGTTGCCATTAATAAAAATATTGGACCCATATGAACCGTTTTGTACATTAGCATTATTTTATTGTTACTGATATATTTTGATTTTATTTAATATGGCTTCGTGAGACCAAATTACAAAGAGAAAATATAAATACACATATATTTCAGTATTCTGGATGGTGTGAGCAAATAGCCGGTGGATACTTAGTGATACAAGTTCGGTTCATAAAGCATTCTAGATCGGAAACAATAGTTGAACCCGAAGTCCCACTTCTTGATATGTTTCCAGCAATCAGCTCTGAGGTTGAAGAGAATTCATTGGGTAAATATTTATTTATCTATTATTTTTATATTCATTTATATTGACCATATCATTCAGTTAATATTGAGGAGTTTTCTTTCATTATTCTTTCTCTTTTTTCTTATTATTTTCATTTGTTCATCATTGCTTTATGGTTTTAGCCATTTCATTTTTTAAGATCATACTTTATCGAATGGTGATCAACAACCCAATCACGAAACTGATTTTTTTGCGAAAGATCCTATACGCGATCTTATGATCACATACGTGCGAGCTATGCTTAATCATAGCCTTAGTTTAAATTTTCTTCAAAGTGTAAAACAGGGCAATGGTAAATTTAAATTTTATATTTTGAGTAGTTTTTTTTAATGCTTTTGAGATATATTTTAGTTACTAATAAATTATAGCGGACTTTCTCTATTCCTTAAATTGAAAAAAAGAAAAGATTAAGATAAAGATTATGAAAAATAATATTTTTTTGACAGATTGGAATTATTTACGAGCTCTGAACGACATAGATAAGATCAATCTAGAAAGAAAAGAAAGAGTACTTTCACGAGTGAAATGGGTTCAGCGCTACATTGAGATGCTGCAATTTTATTCATGTTGTGCCATTTCCGATGCTGAAAATGATGGATTGATGTGTCAGGTACATTCATGTATTTCTGCTATTGTTGAAAATAATAATGAAATAGGATCAAAAAAAATTTATTACTGTTCATAAAATTTATTAAGGCTTGTCACTACAAAAATATTGAAAAAGTTGTTCAATTATTTACAAATGAAGGCTATGATTATGAGACGCTTGAATGTTGTGAAATACGTTATACTGGATGTGGCTCCCCAATGCCAGCTATGGTAATTTTATTCCCATTTAAAATTACTATTAATATTTATTTTCCCGTTGTTCCAGTTCCCTCAACTATGAAAGTTCTTAAATATTGGTGCATATTATCAGAAATTTTTTCCAACATTTGTTAACAGAAATCGGTATTATATTTGAATTTCGAGATTGGTGGTAAAGATTTAATAGATTGATTCAAGGAGAAAAAAGTGAATTTTCTTCGAATAAAATATATATGTTTATGTTTTTTAAATTATAGTTTGTAAAAATAAGGAATAAAAATAAAGTTTAAGATTGTTTTTAGGAATATCTTGTGTGCTCCTTTTGTGCGAAAAACACCGTTATCTACCACAGGCTACACCATATGCGATATTCTTTACTTAAAATATGTGAAGAAGAGGTTGGTGCATTACATGTTATATTATTGTGGTATTGAAGAGGTAGATCTTTTCTTTCGCAACGAGCTTACGTTTATTTATAGGCAAAATCACAGTCCATAGTAAAATGTTTCTAAAATGTTCTTTTGTATCCTATTATATTATTTGTTGCAAATACATGAAAAAAATATATAAAAAGAGATATTCGCCTTTTTTTGGGAAAAGAAAATTTAGCAACAACAAACTTTTCATATTTTGTTGGTTGTTCAGAAATAAATAAATATATTAATTTTTTGCCATTTTCAAGTTGCTTAATTCATTTTTAGATGGAAAATACTAGCCTTCAAAATTTGTCTGCGTCTTCCGATTCGATTGTCGAAACGTGTATGAGAAATACTCAATGGCTTCATTCTGTGAGTTTACATTTTGCAAAGATAGATTCATTAAATGATATTTGATTTTAAGCTTTTTTTTGGATTCTCTTAATTTTTGATTTTTTTCTTTAAGGTAGTTAACGAATATACTGATCTGTGGAGGAAGATTGAAATGAATGATTTGTAATGAATTAGAAATGCTGCATTGTTGATCATTTCAGTATTTTCATGAAAAAAATATATAAAAAGAGGTATTCGCCTTTTTTTGGGAAAAGAAAATTTAGCAACAAACTTTTCGTATTTTACTGTTTATTCAGAAATTGATTTTTAAATTTTTGAATTTTTTGCTGAAGTGGTAAATTAACTACCTCCAAAGGAGCGTTTTAATTTGTTGAATGTTTAATAGAATGTGTTAAATCTTAGCTGTTTCATTTTGAAAACTCATCAAGTCTCATATTCATCGAGATTTTGATGTAGATTGTAATTTGTTATTTTAGATTGAGAATATTATTTTATTAGTTAATGAGCTCCATGTCACAGGAGAAAAAATTTTTTTATATAGCTTTCATCATTATTTACGAATATTATTTACACCCCAGCATGGTTTATTTTCATATTAGGCTGCTCATTTGCTAATCCTTTTTGTCATTGTAAGATTCAATATATATTACTCTTAGCTCAGGAGCTTGTTTTTTTTAAATCACTTGTTTTTTAAGCTGGCTTTAAGTGTGTAGTTCAGCTACATTGGATTCATCATAAACTGAATTATTTTGCGAATTTTTTAAGATGCCTGCAGCATCACTCTTTCTTCAGGTCATCAGCACATTATATATTTGATTATCTCAGAAGTATCTTCAATTATTTTTGGCTCATTTATCTTCAGAAAAGAGACTGGTATAAATTATTACTACTGTATGTATGTTATATGTTCATTTATTGGCCGTTTTAATATCATTGTGATATAAGATCTCATCAGCGATTTGTAAATAAAATTCAATATTAATTATTATTTAAAAAAATTAAGTTTTTTATTATATAAAAGAAAATATTCTGAAGATAATTTTTAAGACAAACGAACCAATGCAGACAATCTGCGTTCCGATTTTCAGTTTAATTTTATCGAATTTTTTTTGAAAAGCAAATTAAAAATGAAATAAAAGAGAAAAATAAAGAAGTAAATTCAAAAAATAAATAAAATAGGAAGATGAATGTGGATGTTGGAGTCGCTTAAGCATTTGGTATGCTAACAAGATAAATCGAGTTACAGGACTTTCTATCGTCATATTTTACTGTCCATATTTTTTAATTTATTCACAGCAAATGATTCTCTGTTTTAAGGCAATTGCTGTGATTAAGTGCATTGTTCTTATAAGATTTGTAAAATTAAATAAAATCAAAGTTGTTTATTCGAATTTAAAAGATTTTTAAGTTTAAAATATCGAATATTTTTTGCTCGTGAATCGGAATTATTATACAATACAAATCAACTGCTATATACATTATTAAACGATCAAAAATTGTTTATTACTTTTAGATAATTTTGTAAATTTCTCGAATTTTTGGTTTAATATTTTCTCATTCTTTTTAAAGTAACTAAAGGATTTTAGTTTCTAAGGGATTTTTTAAATTTTCAGTTAGAATTTTCGAGGATCACTCAGATCAATTTAATAGGCGATTTCCCGGCCTACCAGTTTAAACCACAAATTTTTTATCTCGTTGTTCTTTGGCTACGCTACTAAGTTAGACGAGGTGAGGGTCATTCACCGGAGAATAAGGTGCAAATAGATCACCGGTGGCATTGAATTCCACTTATAATCGCAAGGTTGCTCTCTCTTGTCACAGAGGGCAATAATGATCGAAGATTAGCCGAAGCAATGATCTTATTAATCAGTAATTCTCGGTCTATAATGCCTACTGGTCTTTAAAATGGCTTCGCACCATTTATTAAAACACAACTCAGCAACGTTGAAAAAATGATTGGCCGATCGCCAAAAGTTTAGATATACGTGTGTGGGGGTACAGACTCAGAATATAGTGCTGTAAGAGTTGGGCATTTTCAAAAGAGCGCGAATACCGTACAACTTGGCATCGAACAAATTGTGACAATGCAATGGAATGGATGGGCGTTCAGTGAAAAATTAATGTTTGTTTGTAAAGGAGAGGTGGGATGGGTGGGTGGTTGTGTTGGTACCGTTGAGGGGTCGGTTTTGCTCAAGGCTGCACTAAGGTGTTGGGAGAGGTTGGTTGGCTTCCGAGGAAAGAAATATGAAGAAATAGTGGCAATTTTATGTCAAAATTCTAAGGGGGGAATGTACCATTCCTTGCGTATAATTGGAGAAAATAATATGGTATTTAGAGGTCGCTTAATCAGATTTCTCGTCGAGATATATAACCGAATTTTATCACTTTTAAATTTATTAAATTTGCTGTTGAATTAACGTAGAAAGGAATAAAATTTTACCTTTGTGTATTCATCTTATTTTCCAGCAATTAATTATTTAGTAATCATTAATTTCTTGGTTGCGTAAATTTGTGCATATAATTCAGTGCATATGGTTTAATAATGTTATGGTCAGGCTAATTTCGTTCTTTTCCTTCACCTTCCTTTCCTTTTCCTATTGGTCTTTCCCCATTCCTTTTCCTTTTTCGACCATCTTCTTTGGTTCTCCTTTTCTTTCTTTCCTCCTTTTTTTTTTATCTCTTCTGGCTCCCATTTTTTTTTTCTTTTTATTCTTATTATTTCAGTGATTTCAAAGAAGGATAAAAAGTATTTTTGATTTCTCTAAATTTATTTTGCTGCTTCAAATAATTGTGAATTACTTATTTTAAAGTAACAAGTCGATATTTTATCAGTGATATTTTAACTTGTAAAAATGAACAACCTGGTCAGATTGTTATGAAGTTATGAAGTTTAAAATTAGGCATTAACCGTTGAATGGTGATAGAATGATTGAATGGCATATTGCTGATATCTTTGAAACAAAAAACGGATGTGAACCTGTCATTAAAAGGCGAGGTCAGGATGATACTTCAGCCTCGACTATTGATATTCAAGTGGCATCCTGATGCCACGCATAATTTCATTCATTCATTTGAAAAAAACTAACTAGTTGTAGATTGTTTATTTATTTTTTCCCTATTTATTTTTCTGAAAGAGAGGTAAATTCGAAGTGGTAAATGGCATTTAAGTTTGATGCGGAAAGAAAAATAGGATAGAATTTGAATAGAATTTGATGAAATTTGTCGAAAATGTGCAGCAGTTATTGTTTATTAGATAATTTACACTGTTTGATCTTTTGATCCATTTATTTCATTTGCACTTTCGTTATTTTTGTTAATTAGTTTATATGACTTGCCCTGAAATAATTTCAGAGTTTCCTCGTTACGCGAGCATTATCAAAAGAAACTGGTTAAAATATTGTACAAAAAAAACAATGGCAAATCATGCAAATTGTGAAGCATCAGGTGCTAGTTCGTTGAGGTGTATTGACGATGCGGTTATCAATGATACGAGTAGTTCAAGTAGTTCTTGTGATGAAGCGAACAGTTGTAGTTCTGATTCAGCTTCGGATTCGATAATAATGCGACGATTGAACGATGAAGAAAGGCAAATAATAAGTGGGGATGGAACTATCGCCGTTGATGTTGTTACTGTTGGTGACAGTGGTGGTGATGGGATTAGATCGTTGGGTAATAAAGCTAGGCAGTCATCGGAATGCAGTAATGCGTCGTTTTCTTATTTTTCTGATGATTTGTTAGTACCTAAAATAGAGGGAACTAATTTAAATGGCACCTCGTCCACATTGATTGATAACGAAAGTAATCTACCAACGACAACAAATAATAGTGATGGATCATTGGCGAGGAAGCATGTACATTTAAGTGCAAATAGTTCCACAGGTCACTTTCCGTATTTCTAATTTTTTTTAAAATTCTTTCGGAGTTGGAGTTTTGGGGATTGGCAATTTTTTAGAATTAAAAGAATATCACATTTTTTTAAAGAGAGTATAAAAAAATCTTAATAAATTAAGAAAAAATTTTTTTATGTTCTTATATAATTCATAATGAAGATTTTCAAAATTTTTTTTGTTTATGATTATAAAGTATAATGTATTAAATTCAGTCACTGAAAGTGAAGTAAATACGAATAATAGTAATATGGAGGCAGCAGTGCAAAGTGTGTCGGAGATAAAACCGTTGGAAAATCATTTAAAAGTATTATTTATCGAAATTTATTTATTTACATAATTTATTGAAACTTTTTTATCAGTTTTTAACAATACGTTTGATTACTTCTCTCTATTTCTGGAAGATATAGCTAATTATTTAAGTTTTTCACAAGCTACCCATTTATAAATTTTTAATATTTATATATTTATATATAATAATAGGAGAGACTAAATGAAAATGCTGTGGAGCGACTAAGGCCAAGTAATGCAACAACAGAAGAAAGCGTCACAGGAAACAACGATTACAAGCTACCTGTTAAGAAGTGTCATATTTTTTTTTAAAAAAAGCGTTTTGATGAATTGTAGGGATAAAATATTGAATTGGATGTTGTTGATAACAGATTAACAAAATGATCTAAATAGGAAAAGGAATAATGAGACATTTTTGGCTTTATCGAGTATTGTCAAATTTATATCCATTTTTATTCCGAAGTATTTTTCTACAACATTTGATGTCAAAACTTATGAGTTTTTCAGCAGCTTAATTTTTTATCATTCCTGAGCTTATGGAAATTTATTTTATAAATAAGTTTGGCAGATTTTTTTGTTTCGTTCAATTTGTATAAAATTTTAATTTTCAAGAATGAGTGAGCGTGGTTGTCAAACATATTTGGATCAAAAATCGTTTGCGCAAATTGCAACTCGTATACAGAATTCGCAAATACGACTCCAGCTGCAGCCTGGTCATCAAGAAGAGCAGCCATCTACTAAGGGTAAAAATGAAATATATTCAGTTTGCTCATTCCAAAATTGAATTAAAATAATTCAGAGATTTTTTTTAGATTTTTGAAGAAAAAATGTGAGATGTTTTTAAGGTTATTGCATTTAAGGTGGAATTAAAAAGTAAATTTGTCTTTTCAGTTTATTTATTTTAACAGTTATTTTGATTTGTTTTGAACTCTTTTTTGAGATATATTATTTTTTACGACTATTATGCCATTCATTATAGTGACAACTGTATCAACATCTGTTGATACAAGCTCACCAAGTTCTTCGTCTGATGGAATTTTACGCTTGACAATAAAGAATTTTAAATCAATGACTGATACCGTGCGTGGAGAGAGTAAAGAAATTCAGTCAATTCCGTGGTTCGCGCAAAATTTTATTCGTATTTTGCGGAAATTTTTATTTAGTATTTTAGAAAATTTTTTACATTTTTTATTGGTTGTCAAAAGAAACTTAAGGTATTATATTTTTTTGCTTACTGCCTATAAAATAATATGGAATATTCTATAAGTAATTTTAACTAGAATGGCCTTTATTTAATGAATTTGATTAAATGAGTTGATAATATTTTTGCTTTTATTCCTGTAGATTTAAGAGAAATCTGTTGCATGATCAGTTTTTTTCAACTTTTCCTGATTTTTTCAATGGTATGAAATTTGTCATTATAATTGCCTCGCTTTCAATCCTTGCCCATTTAGAATTTAATCTAGGCTTAATTTGATTCTAATGGCAGGCTGTAGAAATAAGTGAATAAATGAATTAGTTAAATACAGTTAAATTAAATTATTGTCATTATTTTATTCCACTTTCCACTTTTTCAGAATTTTTATTTTCAGGCGGATAATGGTGATGCCAAGGCAACATGTTGTACAGAAAAAGGGGACTCAGAAATGTTTAGGATTTTTTCTTCAGTGTTGTCCGAATGCATATTCCGAGTACGTTTAATGATATTTTATGGATCTTTTCGGTTCGATTCTGTTTCTTTTTGTGTAAATATTAGCGTGGAGATTATATCAGCAAACAGTAAAAATTTTTTAAATTTGAGTTCCATTTCAAATGTAATTTAAGCTCTTGGTCTTGCCAAGCTGCTGCGGAATTGCGATTGATTTCGCAGAAAGCGAGTGTGCCGCATTTTACAAGAAAGACGAATCATGTCTATACTGCCAAAGAGAACGATTGGGGATATTCTTGTTTTATGACTTGGGCGGTTGGTGATTATTTTTTAAAGCTATCTAAAAGCCATCTTTTTTTATAAGATTTTCATTTAAGATATTTTTGATAATACATAATACATTTAATGCTGATTAATTAATTACAGGATATTCAAGATGAAGAGCAAGGATATATTAAGGATGATACAGTTATTTTAGAAGTTTCAGTTAAAGCGGAACCAGCCAAAAATGTTTTGTAAGTTTTTGTGAATTTTACGGTATATTGAAAAGAAATTATGTATTTCATGTGGACGATTTTTATGTAAAAGATTTAAATAAATAATCTGTTAAATTAATGGTAATACATCAATCGTTTTTAAAAAAAAAACATTTAGAGCAGAGTATTTCTTAATTGAAACTGGAAAATTTATCTTTTTAAGTATTAGGATTGATGAGTGTTTTAGGACCCAAGAGCAATTTCGGAAAAAAATCCAGGATTATAAGCGGTTAGCCGATATACAGAGTAGTCGAGGTTATCTTGATAAGGCTATTGAATGCAATGCAAGTGCACTTAAATTCTGTCGAGATCGAGATAAGGCTTGTAGGGAAGAGCTGGAAATTCAGAAACAGCAACTTATTGATCTGAAATTGAAGCAGAGCATTGAGCGAATTGAAAAAGGTAGATTAATTTACAATTTGTTGTTTCAAATTACTGCAGCTTTCCAGTGTTATTTTTTTATTTCGATTCTTTGTTATTTTTAGGACCGATAAGTGGGAAAGGTGATGAAGAGAGCATTGGAAATCATAATGCAGTGAAGCAAGCAATTACTGGCACTACTAATAAACAGACAAATATTGGAAAAGGTTTCAAACCCAGTTCAAATGGCAAAGCAAAAGACAATAGTAATATAGAACGAAATCAGCATCAACAGTCACAGCAAAGGCTAGTTTCTATCTGTTGCTGTTTATGTTTGTTTCTCGCGTTTTTGTTATCTTGTTTTTTGTTGATCGTCTAGCCTTACTCAACCTTATTAATCATGTTGTTACTTAATTTAGCGGATAACAAAAAAGGTTCCGTAAATTTCTTAAATTTTATATATCTATTACATTTCAGTATATATTTTAGAAATAAAAAATTATAGGCTGCAAACACCACCGCCACCTGCAAAACCAACTGTTGAGAAGAGAAATTTTATCGAAAAGATTGGGACAGAAACACATTTAGACGATTTAAAAATTGAGAAGGAAATACCCATGCCTGGTATTACTGCGGCTACTTGCAAAGATGTTTGCAAAAATCCTAAAGGACAGCGCAAATCAGGTTCTTTAAATTTTCAAAAACAATTAAATCAAGACAATTTCGATTTTTCTAAAATAATTTTTATTGTGGTCGTGACGCTATTAGATATGGATTAATTTTTTTCTAGCCTTTGTATTAATTAGGTGAACTGAACTGCTAACTACTTTGGCCGTGTTAAAAAAATTTATATTTTTATTTAAAAATATTTATATATATATATATATTCAAAGATTATTTAGTTTTACTCATTTAGATAGTTCTTAAAATTTTTTGTTATCTATTGGCCAGTAAAATTCAATTACGAAAGAAATCATTTTTAATACGATTATGAAATGCTGCAAACCAGTCAATAATTATTTATTTTATTATGCTTAAATCTTACCAGAATTTAGATCATTCTTAACTTTTTTTTATTTTTTCAAGTGCCGAACGACTCAACTTTGCAGCATTGCGAAAGAAAATCGGTAAATCTTATTAGTTTTATCTGTAATTCATTAATTTTCTTTTATTGCTTTGTTTTCAAATTGCTTTATAATTCTTTGTTTTTAATTTGTAATTCTTTCAAATTTTTTTTTGTTCAAATTCTGCGATATTTATTTCAAAATGAAAATGAAATAATTTAATCAAAATTGATTCTATTATTCGCAATGCAAACGGGATTAATCCATTTCTATTAAATTTTAATAATGAGTTTTTTCTTCAGTTGAATTCAGCATTCCAGCAGTTGAATTCTTTTTCTTTTTGTTTATTGTTTAATGAATTCTTTTATTGTCGATTTTTATAGATTGAGCTGAATTTGCTTGATGCTAAAGGGGAACTTGTGAAAAATGACAGTAGATTTGCAGATAGGTATTTTTAATCCCAACTTTTTTATGTTTCATATTTTTATTCTTTTTATGTTAATTCATATAATCATTAAATTATATTTTTCTATTCTTTTCTATTCATTTCTATTCTTCTATATTAAAAGTCAATAAAACAAGTTTCTGTTTGCAATCATTTTTACAGAGCGCATAATTTGATTGGAATGAAAAAAAATGAAATCATCAAATCGGATGAAATTTTTGAAAATTCGAAGGATGAATTAAAAAAAACTCAGCAACAAGTCATGAAGTCGTGTAAGGAGGTAATGGAAATATTTTTTTGGTTTTTTATATTTACTTGATATCAATCATCAGCTTGATAGTATTTTTCTCTTAGAATAGAGCTAGTCACTCCCTTACCCTTACAATCATGAGTGGTGCATTTTCCCTCCCTTTTTTGCTTACAATCATGAGTGGTGCATTTAATAAATGTCCCAATATCGAACCCAGTTTTAAATTAAGTTGCTAATATTCACAATTTTTGTAGGAATTAGAAATGAACATTCAGAATGCTAAAAATGTTGAAAAATTTGAGGATGTTAATAAATCTCACGAAAAATCCATGCTTGTGAACAACACATGTCAAACCGATAGTGAGTTTCTATCATTTAATTTTTTTCCTTTATCTTATTTTATTTTCCTGAGTTATAATTAAATTTGCAAATTTTTTTCAGTTTCTATATGCTGGGATGATCATAATTGGGAGCTAAATGAAGCTGCCATATTCTCGCAGGCAAATGTTCCAATTATTGCAAGTATTACGAATCAGCCACGCTACTTTTCGAAAAGGACTGGCAGAAAAAACCGTATCATTTTTTTTTGACCTATTTTTTTACTCTTGTTTTTGCTTTTTGCGAAAGTTGGTTTATACAAAATGGCATCGTTTCGCGTCAATCAAATTTTTACAAAAGTCGTCTTTTGCATCCACTTTTTCCATTGTGTGAAAGTTATTCTATTCCTTTTTCATTTTTTCATTTATTTTTTTAAAAGATAGTTTATAGTTCGCTTCATTTTTAATATTTGGAAATTAAATTGTTTTGAAAGTTGAAACTTTAAGTTACTACGATTTAAATAATTTTAGTTCAATCAACTAAAATAGAAGATATCGACTGGAGAATGAAGAAAATGAATAACATTGATACTTCAAATCAAAAGGTCCCGATTGAGGTCATTCTTTTGTTTAGAATTTGAATCGGTTTGATTATTCTAAGGCTTTAACAATTTTAGTCTTTAGATTAAATCTATAGAACGACGTAATGAAGTTGCAGCAGAAGATCTTTCAAATGAAGCTTTGACTACTTTGAATTCACACCCTAGTGACTTTGTTAGTTTTTTGGTTAAATTATCTTTGAATAAAGGAAATGAATTTTTATTCATAGTTCTAAAAGATACGATCGCAGAAGATCACTGTGGAGGAAAATTTCAATAATGGAAAAAAATTATTGTATTTTGAAAATTTTGGTATTTATTACTTTTATTTAATTTAATTTATTTAATTCTGGTATTACTTTTAATTTTGGTATTTATTACTTATTTTTAATATATTTTTGTATTTTTTAGTTGAAGATTTTTAGATTTTTAAGAACATGGCGTCAATTGATGGTTCTAGTTCAGTTTTTCTGGATTCAACAGCAACGGTAACTTTTTTTTATTGAAATAAATTGGAAAAAATATAAGCATTTCTAAAGTTCAAATCTTCTATATATTATTCGGCCCGTTACTTACTTTTACTAAAATTTAAAGTTTTACTCGCTTTAGGTACCTTTTGCTGAAGACGTTTCGCGCGCGGAAGATATCTACACGAAGCCTTACATTGAAGAATGGCTCAAGTATCATATTAAAACCTGTTGGAGATATACAAGTGGTGACGTATGTTGTCCTTTCTTTTTGTCTTCATCATTAATTTTAGCTTTTTTATTTCTTCAGTCTTTGTTTATCCAGATATTTCTCTTAAAAAAGGTTATTAAGCCGACAGGGAGAATGAATATTTGAATATATAATTGAATATAGTAATCGGAAAGATTTGAAGATTCTAAGTTATGCTTTCATATTTTGTTATATTTGATAATAAATATCGTTATTCCGGCTATTATGCATGAGTACTACTATATTTTTAAAAATTTTTGTTTTATTGGTCTTATACTGGGTTGACTGAATTTGCGGAAAAATAGTTGGTTCTAATTTTATGTTGGTCCAGTCCCCATATTTTGATATCTTTTTATTATCTTTTTGCTTTCTATCTTCTTGCATACCTATTATTTGTATGAAATTGAAATCGTATATTTGAAATTTTTGTGAGCTGAAACTGATTACAGCATGCACAAATTGGTGATGAGGCAACTATCGATCTTTCTCAGTTTAGCGAAGGCCAGGTAAAATTTTGTTCCAGGAAATTGTCTTTCTCCTGCATTTTTAGGATGTGTTTAGTTAAAATTTAATTATATATAGGTGCAACAAGTTATGGCTGCATTGTCTGTTATTGGTGTTAATTGCATGAATGCAAGACGAGTTGTTGATAGAGCTGCTGATTTCATCGCAACTTTAGAAAATCGGACAAAGAACCCGTTGCTAAAAGATTGCTTAATTAAGATTGCTCAATTGGCTGGTGATGAGAAATCAGTTGAGGCTCTACGGGAGTTTCGTCAAGCTGGTTTTTTTTCATACAGTTTATAGTACTCTTAGAATGACAGAACTAGATTAAATTTAAATTTATTAAAATTTTATTGGTAAAATATTTGTTTTTATAGTCTTTTTTGCCAGTGTTTAACAGTTATTTATTCAATGAGTCATTAAAATCCAAAATTTTTGCTGTTAATTTTAATTAAAATGTTAATTTTGTTTCTCATACCTTTTCATTTGAGGTGGCCGTGAGACTGATCGCGAGAAAGATTTCGTTGTTGAAGATTCTGTAGTAAGGGGTGAAGAATTTCAAAATGCTGAGACTGAAGATTTTCGGAATTTCTTGGCTTCACTTGATTGTGCTGAAGATAGTAACGATTATTTATTGCATAATGAAGTACGTCGTATTAATATGTACGCCGATCAGGCATTCAAAAGTCCATTCTTGGAAATACATCAGGTTGAAAAGTTAGTATTACTTTTTCGTCTATGAATATCTAAGAAACGAGGTTTTGATGAAGTCTTTAATTTTTAATTTTTATTTTTTTCCCTTATTTAAAAGCGTAATAAACATTCCATCCAGGTTGAATGAGCATATTGATCGAATAACAGCAAAAATAACAGCATTGTTAAATGATAAAGAAGTGCTGCAAAAAACGCTAGCATCTGAAAAAGCTCGAAGTAACAAGTAAGTGAACGAAGCTTTTTTATATATTTATTGTAATGGATATATTTTTGATTATTAAATGGTTGTGTTGAAGGAATTAAAATTTTGAATATTTTTTGGTTTTAATAACATATAGAATTTAGGAGCGAGCAGAAACATACTTCTATGATTAAATCGATGGAAACGCAGTTAAAATGTGAAAAAGAGAAGTTACAAAGGACTGAACAGGTCTTGACTCAGAAAAAAAATGAATGCAAAAAATATGAAAGGCAGATAAAAGAAAAAGATTTGTTAGTTTTTTTATCTCGTTTAAATATTTTGTTTTGAATAATCATCATATCCTATTTCCTTTATTTAGCAGTTTAGGCATCATTTTTCCCGATAATTTTTAGTAGAATGATAAAATTTTGACAAGGTGTTGCTTGAGGATTATGGCATTGCTCGGCTTTTTCAATAGCAAATTCAATTCTTGTGCTTCACAATAGTCAAATCATGGTACTCAAAACCATAATTTAAGGAAGCATCCACTTAAGCTGTTTATTCTTTCTCTTATTTATGTGCTACATATTGTAGCATATTCTTCTACTTCTAATAGCTCTCATAATTACTGGTTAGATTGGCTCAGCTGGCTACAAAGGTAAGGCATCTCCAACCCGATATCATCCTTGACGGCAATAGAAGCCATTCACTCCTTGCTATCCTCTTGACCCATCACAAGGTTTAGCAAGTAACGAAATATTGAAATATGTGCCAACTCTTGTAATGGGCGATGAAAAACGTGCCCGTAACTAGCGATGACGATGCTCTGTGGTGGTATTTATACGAATGTGGAGGCAGTCTAAGATTTTATCCACTCGGTGAATCTATAAAATATTTCTTAGCCATGTGTGGCCAAAAGAAGATAACTTTTTTTTGTGCACTCTCATCGGCCATGTCTCGTAGCTATTTAGCAAAATCGAGCGATTTG